TCAAGCTTGAATGTTGTGTCCATACTTGCCCCAACTGTTCAGGGTTCGACCTCTGCGGTCGTATCAAGCTGCGCCCAGCGAAGCATTTTAGTTTTTATTAGTTGTTAGTGGCTTTTAACTAGCTATCAGTAACTGCGTGTACTCTCAGATCTGTACTTAGTGTCTTTTTGTTGTTTGGATGTACAAGTGCCCGGCCACGTCCACTTGTATTTGTAGTATTTGTATTTTTATCCATCTGATGAGTTAAGCCTCTTTCAACTGATTTTTATAGTTCGTTCTTATGTTGTACTGTTACACCACTGTCCCAGGTTAGGGGGAGGGTTGGGATCCCGCTAACATTTTTAACCCCACCACATTCTGTATGTATGTGCCTGTCCTAAGTCAGGAGCCTGTAATTCAGTGGTTGTCGTTTGTTTATGTGTCACATATTTGTTATTCGTTATTTTTTGTACATAAATTAGGCCGTTAGTTTTCTCGTTTGAATTGTTTTACATTGTCATTTCGGGGCCTTTTATAGCTGACTGTGCAGTATGTGCTTTACTCATTGTTGAAGGCCATACGGTGACCTATAGTTGTTAATTTCTGTGTCATTTGGAGAGTTGTCTCATTGGCAATCATACCACATCTTCTTTTTTATATTTACAACAAAACCTATAAAATGTGATGTTATTAAAGAATTAACATTTTTCCTCAGTGTTTTTGAATCCCTTGATTTAAGCTGTAATCATGAAAAATCAGCAGAAATTTATGATTTATTGAAACAAAAAGTAATCCAATTAAAAGTGCTTCTACATCTATAAGTGAAGAAAGAAAATATACAAAATAAAATTGAAAAATAATTTATAGTTTTAACCCTCATAAAATATAGGGTTCATGATAAAGTCTTTTTCAAAACTATCGAAGGTCGGTGGTTTTCTCCGGGCACTCTGGCTTCCTCCACCAATAAAAACTAGCCGCCACGAAATAGCCCAAAAGCGGTGATTAAAAGTGGCGTTAAAACACCAAAAATCAAATCAAATCAAATCTTTTTCAAAATTGTAATTTGTATTTGTTTATCATGGAAACAATCAACAATTATGTGACTATTTTCTGTTAATTTTTGTTATAATTTGTATTAATATTTTTGGATTTTGCTGAAGGATGTGATTTAATTAAATTATTATATATGACCTTCCTCTGCCAACTTTTAGGATGAAGAACAACAAAAGAATTCTATGAGATTTTTATCTAGTGTCGAACATACTCAGTACATCCTATTTTTCCCAATTACATAATGTATGACAAAAAGTCATCTTTAAATTCGAATTTTGTGTCATTGTCATTGCATTTTGTTGAACACGATCAATTCTCAACAAGTCAAAAAAAGGTGCACTAAATTTAAATACACGTTTGTGAATTGAAAACTTAATTAGTTCTTGCTCCGCCTACCAATAGAATTTTATTTTGATAATGTTTAGGTGACAGCTTTGATCAGAAGTATGATATTTATGTGATAATACCACAAGGGAAATGTCTGGACGAAATCAATACAGCGCGGTATTTTTTGTGTCAATAGCAACAGATAAATCCGAACATCAAACATGAAAGACTTTTTAATACTGCCAAGTATAAGCCTAATAACTGATAACTGGTTGTCAGGCCAAATTTAAACATGTTGTCATCGGTAGCTGTATAGAATAAACAAATACAGAAGAGCCAGAAATGTTGACAAGTGAATGCCATTATTGAATTATCTTTGTTATGCAAATATTAAACAATTAAGAGCATTTTTCTGTTGTTTATGATTTTATCTGATTTATTATTAATACTTATTTGTTCTTTGGATTAAAAATTATTTTAATTTTACAGTAAAATCTGTATTAATCATGTAACAGGTCATTGCTACCTCTTTATAGCAAGTCTATGAAGGATGGTTTGATTCCCTATTTTTGAAGATAGCTGACTAGTGAAATTGACCTCCGTATAAAGACCATCCGTTCATAAGCCTACATAATTCTCTTCCCTTGGTTGTCCTTTGCCTATACAGGTTTGACTGTCATTACTTTTAAAAATATTTTGGTTTTTATTTAACCAGATTTAACATGCAATGTTTTTCATTTGAATGGTCAATTACAAGTTTTTCCAACTCATTAAAATGAAATATTTAAATCTTTTTTATTCCTTTAAAATATTATTAAATCTCCAAGGATGTAATTGAATACAAGACAATATTTATTAATTCTGTTACAAAGTTTTTATTTATAAATTTTGCCTTTTATAGATATTAGACAAATAATTTATTTCAGGCCTGTAGCCATGATGTCTCTGAGGGGAGTTATTAGGGGTCCTGACACTCTGATTTCAATATACAATTTCAGTCTGAGTCTTGGTTCATAAATTTGCAGCACATTTAAAAATCAATTGAAAACTTCTTTCAAAATTTTATTAGATAGTAGATTTTGTAATCCACAAAAATTGGTACCAGAGGGATTTTACTATTTCACAATAATAATAAACATTTAGTAAAACATATTTTGTGTAAATTTTCCAATAATTTCAATGTTGTATTTGGTTTTAATTAAATTTTTATTTAGTTTTCTATGCAAACATCAAACAAACACATGCACGCAAATTATGAAATATCACGTGTCCTTTCATTTATGTTGAGATTTTTTAAAGTGTTCTTGATAATGTACATTTAGAAAGTAACAAAAAGAAAGAAATTGCATAAAAAAGGTAACAAGAATAACCAAAGTAATTTGACCTTTCATAGAACACACCATGGACCAACCAATAACATGTGACTCCTGGGAAAAAGTAGATATACAAACTGAACAATACAGGTACAAAATGTTGTTGGGTAAAATCAGTTATACATGCTGACAAAATATGGATATATGGTATGATTGCCAATGAGACAACTATCCACCAAAGTTCAAATGATGTATATGTTAGCAGTATGCAACTGTACGGCCTTCAACAATGAGAAAAACCTGTACCATATAGTGCTGACAAATCGATCCCTTTTTTCGTTTAAAAATATGGATATGTGAAATGATTGCCAATGAGACAACTACCCACCAAAGTTCAAATGACATATGTTAGCAATTGTAGGCAACTATATGGCCTTCAACAATGAGAAAAACCTGTACCATATAGTCTGTTATAGTCTGTTATAAAATGCCCCGACATGAAAAATGTGAAACAATTCAATTGAGAAAACTAAAGGCCTAATTTATAACAAAACAATTTAGGAAAAACTTCCTAGACCATTTATCATGAATGTAAAACTGCATTTTCATACCTCGTACTGGTAAATTATATTAAAAAAGACCATATGTCCCCTCATTTGGTCTCTGGTGGAGAGTTCCCTCATTGGCAATCATTCCATCTCTTATTTTTATATAGTATCATGAAGGTTTATAAAGATGATAATTTTGTCATCTTATAGAGACTGATTGATAAATGGAGTAGACATTTTATTGTACAGTGCAGTGTTAAATAGTCATAGATAGATCACACCATTAAATGTTTACTATCATGGAACATCACTTTTCATGATGCAACATGTATTGTTAGTATCTATATAAATAGTTTTACAATTCCAGTTGTCTCTTAGAGATTGGTATCTTTAGGCCACAGTTTGTAATTCTCCAAAACTATTAATAAAAAAGAAAAAGATTTACAAAGATAAAAAAATATTTAGACCAGACAGATGACATAAAAAAATTTCACCTCCTTTTAATAACGTTTCTTTTTTTTATTACTTTGAAAACATTACTAAAAAAGTGAAGGCTCATCTGCTGTGAAATATAATTTTGTAACTTTGGCCTAGTTTTATATTTATTGTTATAAATGTGTCTCTGCTGAGATGAATTTCCTAACAAAGAAAATGTTTTATTCTCCATTTCATTATCATTGAGATTTTTCCATCATTTATTCAATTCTAAGCACAGTTCATTTAACTGGCAAATGTATGTTTATTTCTTAGTAATTTATCTTAGTGTTTTTAATATTAATATCTGTTAAAATGGAGAAGAAAGCAGAATTATTTGGAAATAGTTAAGAAATGATAAAGAGACTTTTCACATGAAATAAAGAGATAATGCTAACTAATTCAAAGGAAAATGAGGAGGATTTCAGATGCATGGAATTACATCTTCAGAAAAGTAATGTCATTAATTTGGAAATCGGCTTAGTATTTTTAGAGAAAATGTAGTTAGTATGATATATGGATTATATCTGTCTGCGGAAAATGGAATATTGACATTCAGACAATTTATATGGTTGATTGGTGTATTTAAATTGGAATGAATTTAGTGCAATTGTTTTTCATGTTTAAAAGTTAGAATGGTAAAGGAATTGTAAGATGTTTCATAATATTGATGATTTGAATATAAGGAGATGTTAGGTATAGCATGCCACCCAACAACAGTCAATCCAAAAGACAATTGGAGGGAAATAATACAAACAAACAAAAATTTTTGCGAGGTTTTTATTATTGCGAATAATGCGATTCCTTGATAATCGCAATAATAAGAACTCGCATTTTGATATCTTGAACATATAGCTTTGTATAGCATTTCCTCAAATCGCAATAATTAAATTCGCATTTTTGCTCATTCTTCAAAAATCGCAATAATAAATGCACGCAATAATTTCTGAATTTACAGTACAGTAAATTCCGAAATTAATGCGAGGTTTTTATTAATGCGAATATTGTGACTTCTTGAGTATCGCAATAATAAGAACTCCAATTCTGATACTAGTATATGATACATATACATGTATATATATATGTAAGAAGCTTTTCCTTAGATTGCAATAATTAAACTCGTAGTTTTGTTAATTCTTCAAAAATTGCAATAATGAATGCACGCAATAATTTCTGAATTTACAGTAATTCATTTTTATATGGTAGAATCTTACATTTTGAAGCTTTACCATATAATAGGGAAGCAGCATCATTAACACAGACAATTTGTGCAGTGCTAAATTATAAAATTTCTCTTATATTTTAGGATAATGATGAATTGAAGAATAAAAGAGATAAAATTGAGACTGAATCTCCAAATAAAAGTGACGATGAAGAAGACAAAGGTCAAAAAGGTCGTTCAACTGATGATGAGGATTCTGAGCTTGAAGATTATAAAATAACTGAAGATCAGAAGAGAGCCTTGGAAGAAATGGAAATGATGAAAAGTGAATTAGGGTTACCAGGTAAAGCAGACTTGAAGACTGTACAGGAACCTATAATTGCTTATATCTACTTATTTGAACTCTGGTGGATAGTTGGCAATCATAGGACATCTCCTTATTTTTATAATCGATATTTTTGTGGGTTGTTATTTTGGTGATTTTAATGCATGAACTTTTCACATTCAGGTTGTATTTGCACATTGAACAAAAGATGCTTTGACCTTTGAACTTAAAATAGGTTAATTGTACAAGTTATTGATGTAGTGGATATTTTGGGGGATTTTTACCTGATTATGTATATTTTCTTATGCTGTTTGGGGATTTTATTAGATTGCCTATTTTTAGATACCTAATATTTTTACTTATTCCGTAAAAATGAACAGATTTTGGCTATATGAGATACGATACAAAAAAGAATAAAATGTGACAGAACAACTTGAATTAATAACATACATTGTAGACTTGATTATATAATAACATTATACAGAGAGTCTATTGAAGCCTTTAGGGGAGAATCTCATCATTAGATTCTCAGAAAAGAAGTCCTGAATTGATGTATTGTTAAAGGCTCTATGGATATTCGCAAATGTAAGTGATGGGTGGAATGTGTTTTATGGGTTAGTCAAACTCATGATTATCTATACTCTCTATCCAAGAGACAAAATTTCCAAGATAAATAGATAAAAAAAAAAAACAAAAAAACAGAGCACCCTGATTGCTGTTCTTTATCTTGTCTTTTTACCTTTTGTAGAAGAAGACCCTCCTGAGTACGATGTGAAAGAAAAATTGAAAGTTTATAATGAAGAGTTGGCCAATGACCCGACTCCACTGGACAAAAGGAAGGATTCAAAAGTTGGATTCAAAGACACTTTAGTTGATTTGGTGGTGCCCCCTAGTGATGATGATGAAACACCACGACCCTCAGAGAAATCAAAGCCAGATTCTGAAAATAAAAACAATAATAGTGAAAAAATTGTCATAGAACAAGATGGAAAATTTGAAGTTGTAAGTAGCGATGATGTTAGAGCCAAAGAAATGGGACTACCACAGTTCATTGACGAATCGTTAAACGAGGATAACAAGGAAAATCGTTCATCATCGTCCTCCCGACAACCCACACCTCCGTCCAATCCACGTCCATCAAGCACTTCTTCCAGTTCTAGAAGAGTTGTTCGCCCTGGTTCATCAAAACAGCGTGCTCAGTCAGCACGAACAACACAAGATTCTCATAGACCATTAGAAAATTTTTCATATAATTCACCTTATGCAATGACACCGGAGGATAAGAAACGACTGAAGCAGCAACAGGAAGAAAAAGAAAGAAGAAAACAAGAGGAAAAGAGGAGAAAAGAAGAGGAAGAATATACAAAACAACGAGATAACGATGACATTTTTCAATCTTGGTGGTCGAAAAAGAGAGAACAAAAGAGAGAGCAACAGAAACAGGAAGATCAGGAAAGAAAAAAGAACGGAAATCAAGAAAAAGTAAGTATGATATAAAGATGTATGGAGGGGGTCTAGGGTCATACAACTTCAATAATAAAAAAATTCAAGGTCAAACCAGATGGACATTAAAAATCATTTAATTTATCATCAGCTTTGGTGATTTTTTCTCATTGTTTGGTAAAAAGACGCAGTCCCAATGAGAATTATTTCAAGATGAAGTAAAATTCTCAGATTATTACTTTTTACTTCTTTATTGACTTTGGATAGGTAGTCAGAGTAATTTTGACTAATGTTGCTGTTTGAAATACCAACTAAATGGATCATAAAAAAAGAGGGAAGAAAAAACCAAGTGACCAATAAAAAATCATAAAAAAGAACCAACACCATGACCAAAAGAAAAAAAAAAAAAAAAAAAAAACCAACTGTCCTCAATATAATACACAGAAAACTAAAGATTGAGCAACACAAACCCAACCAAAAACTGGGCAAATATCTCTCCTTAGAATATCTTCCTCAAAATATGACACTTATGTATAAAGCCAAGAAATAGAAATGTCGTCTTTTCAGTTACGAACCTGAAATTGATAGGGTCAAACAGGATATTTTTAAAATTTTGTTTTCAAACTTTTTATTTGATCAGGCGATTAATTTATCTTATAAACTATTGAAAAGTTTGAAGTCTTTCAGGGAAACTGTTTTTGTTGTTAATGTCAACGTTTTGATGTTTTTCACCCTGTATACAGAATTTATGAAATATGTTGCACAGTAGCTGCTGAACTGCAGCTCTTATGGTCCTTGAGATATTTTTTGACAATTTGCGGGCAGCTAGTTACACAGAAGAAGGCAAAACTGAAAGTTTTTAAGTCTTATTTTTACAGGAAGTTTCACGGTGTTGTTGTCTAATTGATGTTTACCCCATGACCCTTTTTTCCGTATTGATGTTTACCCCAATTCCCCTTTTATTCATATTAACAGTATACGTATCATTTATTAATTATCAATTATTTTACATTTTTTATTTGGCTGGTTGTATCTATGATAACAATGTATTTTTTCCACTAGTCATCTGTAATTGAATTAATTATTGCCAACTTCACAACTGCTGCTAAACTATTTTTACAGATTTTTTTTTTTTTAAACATATGTAATTCAGTTCTTCATTGTTTGAAATTCATTTCAGATTTTCCTTCTTTTGCAAAGACAAAAAAAGGCAACAATGCTTGATTAAGCTTTATTGAAAGAACAAAATCTGATTGCAGATCATTGTAAGAAAAAAGATAAGGTTCAGATCAGAGAGGATTTTTATTTTCTCAGGGGTTTGATTGAAAGCCGTTTCAATGTAATGGAGTATAAGATAGTTTTAAAATTCATATTCTCTCATCATGCTCATTCATAGCAGATTCATCCATTTCCTGACCTGTTTATTATTTTTTTTTAAACAACATGTAGTTTGTTTGATCTCAGTTCTTCATTGGTCAAAATTCAATAAAGATGTTTGGTTGACCATGTCTGATGACCTCACATAAAAAGAACACATATGTTTGCAGATCATTGGAAAAGAAAGATTAATTTTGTCTGCATATCATCTGAAAGCCATTAGAAAAACAGATTCCACTACCAAATCTCTTGCAATATGATATTTCTCCACTCTCGATAGTTAAAGTTTATACATTTACAATTGTTTCTGAACTATTTTACTTACCAAATGCCCTTGTTTTCCTCAGAAGTTGGCAGCATGCTATTCTTTAACTTTGTGATTTTAGCCCTATACTTTTTTGTCAAAATATTCTGAAAACTGTCTTAAAAGTATTTGCTTAAGATGTGCAATCTGCTGTCTACTTTTAGGGTAACACTGACTTGATATTCAGACAATTTTATACATGTACTATTTTTAAAAAGGTGTTTAGAAACTAATTGATTCATTACCAAATACAATGTGGGCATTTCAATCGTTTTTATAACAGCATTACTTGTTTTTTAAATTCTTTCATACACATGAATCATTGCTTTACAGAAGTCTATATACGTTTGACTTGTTACACACTGGCGTGCATGTCTCATATATATACATGTATCTTAAATATTCCATACAAATCGTAGTTGCAGGCATGTGTGCTTGTTTGTAATAAATATTTAGTCTTGCACTGATAAGGCCATAATAAAAAATTCCTGGATTAACTTTTCCCTCCCATCCTGCTTTTTTCAGAGCATAAACAAACTAATTTTTATTTCTGACTATTTCTTTTATTTTGCTAGAATTTTCACAATAAATAACAAAAAATAACTTCCCTCCTTCCCCCTCGCACCAGTTGGATGAGAATCTAGGATTTTTTTATAGGTAATGGCCTAATGTTCTTAGCAGCTGTAATGAAGTTGGTTTTAATTTTGTTTGTGGTTGACTGTATTGTATGTATTTGCTGTGAACTAATATATTTAACTATCTGACTATAGAAATATCGCAGAGACCAGCAGGATGAAGGGTCAGATGATCATCTCAATGACGACGATGATGAGGTAGGACAAAACTTCTCACTAGAGGGCTCTGTTGTTGTTCTTTTTAAAATTCTAATGCTTGTAGCATGACATTATACTTCTAATATGGTTTCTGGGTCTGACCTGTGCAGTATTCCTTATTACCATGCATGAGAAATTGGCTCACTTATATCTGTTTTCAATTTCTTCCATTTTGTAGGCAAACAATAAAAAAAACTTAAATGTTAACTGAAATTGTAAAAATTTTAGTTCTTGTAATTATTTTTTCTAATAAAATGTTAACTATTACCATGCTAGTTAAGGAGATTTAATCTTCCAAATTATGCAATATAAAAAGAGAATTCAGCTTTGTTTTGTTTTCTTTTTTAGCATTTTATGATTCACATTTGGCATTGGGAAGCAAACTATCCAGCTTATGCAATAATTTCTTTTTAAGAGATGAAATTAAAATTGTCTTTCAATTAAAGTTTTTTAACCAACGATGTGATGCAGCACCCTTTTATAAAGTATTATTAACTTTAAAAAAAATTGAAATATTTCTCATTTAAAAAAAAAGGAAAGAAAAATGAAATGTTATTCAGGTTTTTATCATTGAAATATGTAATACAAAACATGCAAAAAAGACAAAGACATATTCTATTTTTTTTTGTTACTGTGCAGATGAATTACGACTGAAAATTGGAAGATTAATAGTTTATAGATTTTTACTCTTCATTCATATGAGGTTTCCAACATTTTTATTGACAGTTATTTTACAGTGTATTTTATATATCTTATATTACTACATGTATGTGCCCTGGAGACAAATCAAAATTAATCTGGATCCCAAACAAGATATAAAAAATTATTTGTAGATCCTTTAATAAAGTACTGTTCATATACAGTTGTCCTAATTGTGTTTGGATTTGTGATTTTGCTATTATGTTAATTGTACTTTTATAATTTGGAGCCCTCTAGGAGGAGCAAATTTTGGCTAACAACTAACAGCACAACTTTTCACTACTCTCATTCAAAATAAAAAAAAGGAAATATTTCTTTCAGTTTATCTCCATTAATGTTTGTTGTTTAACTATAAATGTTGACCCAAATTATTTTAATTTCATATTTTGGACCAGCATGGAGATGAGAATGAGTCCATTACTGAATCAGAGGTAGGCCCAAACTTTATACTGTAAGAGAACATAGTCCACTGACACCAATTTGAGTGATTTGTGCAGAATTGCTTTATTCGTCTGTTCTTGTAAAGCTTAAGTCTAGAATTTTCATTTTTTGAGCACTATTGCTGTATATCCTGGTCCTGTACACCAGATATTGCTTTTAATTTGAATCCAAGGGATTTTTATGAGACAGGGATTCAGTTTACTGTAGATTGTCACTGGATCCCTGCTTGATAATTCTATTGTTAGCTGAATGCTTTGTTGGTTGCCAGTAAGCAGCAATGTCTTTGGGATACACAGTGCAAATGATCTAAAACAATACAACTTACACAAATTGATAGATGATATTTTTTTTTGCATTTTCCAAATTTTATTTTCTGGTTTTTAATTTAACATTGGTTGTCTCCCTTTACAAGAGGTATATTATACATTTGTATTACAGCAGGTATTACATTACAACAGACTTTTTCAAATTTATTTAAGGAATGACTGTAATATTTTTTCTGTCTATGAAGAAATAACATCAAAAATGTGGTGCACACTGAATAACCCGCATAGCTGGTTATTCAAAAGTGTGCACCACATTTTTTATGTTATTTCGAATAGACAGAAAAAATATTAAAGTCATTCCTTATAATTTAATTCTAAAAAGGAGTAAATAATGATAAAAACGTTGATGACGTCGCGGTCACATGACAAAATTATGTCTATGAGCTGATAGACAGAACACTTTCAGCCAATCAGAAGACATGTTACATCCAAAATTAAATTATATAAAAATGTGAGCAAAGAAATGTTTTGAACCACCTTGTATACATTGAAATTAAATTATACTGTGTATTCATTATTATTTGTTGGATACCAAGTTTCGTTGATTTTGTGGGTACAGGTGAACCACGAATTTAAATGTTCAACGAATTACAAATTTTCTAAAGGAATGTATGCAGACTTTGCCAAAACAACGAAATTAAATATCCACGAAAATGCAAGTTTTCCTCAATCCACGAAAATTGGTACCAACGAAAATAAATGAATCTACAATATTTTAGGATTACTGTCTCATTTATGTTTTCTAGACATATTCCTAATGGGAAAATTGAACTGAAACAAATTAATACATTTATATGTTTCAATTAGATAAAAATATTCAAACTTGTACTTCCTGTAAAAAGTAGTTGATTTGTCCTTTAGCTAAAAATATTTACCTGCTGATATAAGAAATACCTCTAATAAAAGGGAGCTAGGAGACATTGTTAATTAAATGATTTTGAGGAACACTTCAAAAATTTAGATTGGAGAATGTATCTTTGCTTTTTTGCTATAATTCATTATTTAATTCAAATATTTGTTATCTTTCATATATATATTACACTTTTAATTTAATTTTGCACTTCTTCGATCTACTTACAAATTCTAAGATCTTTTAACACTGAGCTTGTGAGTTCAAATCCCTCATGTGGCAGGTGCATTAGACTCAAGTCTTAATTGACAAGGATTGTGGTTCTCCCTGGCATTATCTGGCTTCCTCCATCAATAACAACTGACCGCCACAAAATAGCCAATAGCGCTGAAAGTGACGTTTAACACCAATCAATCAACCTAAGATTTTTTTAAGTCTTCCTAGATGTTTGTTCATCACATATGAAAACAAATGTTAAAAGCTTTTTACTGCATTATATGTAAAACAATACATTTTTATTGATTGAATGAGGGTAGTGATAAATTTGCTGTTTTAGAAATTACATTTTGAGTCATAAACGATTACAAACAGTCAACCTCCTTGCTTCGGTTTGAGGACATAATTATTACTTTCATATATGTTTTAGTTTTGGTCATCAATGCTAATAAATTTTGGCATCAGTCTTAGTGTTACCAGACACTATGATTTATCACTCCTGATGTAAATCTGTCACCAGGGATTTCAGTTTGTCATCAAAAATGAAGATTTGTCATAAAAAATGTTTCAGTTTGTTATTGTGATAAAATTCCTGAACAATTTGAAAAAAAAAATGTAAAGGTGAAAGTTGTGAGTTATTAGATTATTTGATTTCTTGTGAATATTTATATTTAAAGTTTTTAATGACATTTGATTGGTTGAATTGATTAGTGACTGAGGTGACACATTAAAGTATTAAGCAATACATAGATTTGAATTGCTGGTGACAGATAGAAGTCAACACTTACTTTTAAAAGTCATAAGTCATAAAAAGAAGTTTTGGGTGACATTTTGAACTCTCTATTGATAATTTAAGGTTTCTGGTATCAGGTTGAAGGGGCTATTGACAGAAGTCACAATGGAAAGTCAGAAAGAAACCATACAAACAAGGGAAACTGTATGCTTTAAAACTGGGTTTTTAAAATCTTTGAGATTATTATGATTATAGATAAACCATAGAGATGAATATGGAATCTAAGAGATGATCATGATAACAAACGAATCAAAGTATTGGTCATTTTTATAAGAAAAAACTGTCATATCATTATTGGATTATGTTTATTTGTTTTATTTCAAACTCACTATTGAAGTTGCTTTTTTTTGTCACAGGCATTTAGCATTATCAATACAATTTGTTCATTTATCATTTGCAAATTAGATGTTTTCTTTGAAAAAGTTGAAAAATAATATGTTCCATTATATTTCTGTTAACATAAAATTGCAGTTGAATTATTTACTATTCTGCTTCCAGGTTATTTCACACATAGCTTTAGACATGAATGTGCTCTGTTCATTAATGTTGGTGTGTTTTTGTCTGTATATCTGTCTAGTTGCTGATTTCCCTACATCTGTCTTGTTGCTATTGTCTGTAAATCTATCTTGTTGTCATCTGTTGTCTGATGCCTGTCTTTGTCTTTTAACTTTTACAAAGATCTTCTCTTTTGAAATTACCAGGCCAATTGCAACCAAACTTGGCCAACTCATCCTTAAAGTTTTAAGTAGTAAGTGTAAAATGTATGCTCAATGAACCTGCTGACTAACCAACATGGGCCGGCTACCAAGGCTTGAAATAGAACATTGGGGTAAAATGCTAGTATTCTCTATTATCTAAATCCCTTAACAATAGAGAATATCTGCCTTGGTAAACATGTTTAGAAAGTAAAGATGTACCTTCTGCCCATTTTGTCCAAAACTGTCAGATGTCTCCTTATATGAGTATTGCCTATAGATGACTATTATTACAAGTGTTTTAATTTTTTGGCCTTTTTTTTTACAACTGAAATAGAGAGAGCCTTTAAAATGCAAAAGTTATCAGCAAGAAAAGATCTTCAAATTATTCAGATGGCAGTATTGGTCAGTTGTTTTTTATGGGAGGTATTGTCCTTTTTTTAGCCTTTATTTGCGATTTTGGATATTGTCTTGAAAGCTATAAAAGATAAAAAAAAAAAAAAGAAGAAACACTTTAGTTTGCAAAAATTATCAGCAAGAAGATCTCCAAAAAGTCAACATGAGTGAAATTGATATTCAACCTCTTCTAGGAGTCATTGCCCTTGAAAGATGATTTTTACCCTTTTTTAGCTCACCTGGCCCAATCATCATTGGGGTATCTAGTTTAAAAAATGTTTCAGATTACCCAGCCTGCCAACCAAGATGGCCGACATTTTTTGGCTAAAAAAAGAACAATGGGGTAAAATGCAAGTTTTGTCTACTATTTTCAAAACCGTTATAAATAGAGAAAATCTGACAGGGGGCAGAAATGTTCAGAATATTGACCTCTACCAATTGTTCATTTAAGTCAAAACTGCCAGGGGACTTCTTATAGGAGTTATTGCCCTTAAATGATAAATTTTGCCTTTTTTTTTTTCATTTTTGCCTGTTAACTGGAAAAATAAATTAGATACAGAGAAACTTCAAGTGCAAAAATGATCAGCAAGACAAGATCTACAAATAAGTCTGCATTGTTGAAATCGTCAGTCGACTCCTTATTAGAGTAATTGCCTTTTGATGACGATTTTTACTAATTTTTTGCGTTTTTGCTGTATATCTTAAAAATTATGATAGATAGATAGAAACTTAAATAAGCAATAAATAAGCAGACAATATTGAGGAAATTGTCAGACGACTCCTTGTTGGAGTTATTTTTACCATTTTTTTTGCATTTTGCCCTACATGATAAAAATTAGAATAGATAAATAGAAACTTTAAATAGCAAAAATGATCAGCAAGGCAAGATCTACAAACAAGTCAAATTTTGCTGATATAGTTAGTAGACTGTCACTCTTTATAGGAGTGATTGCCCTTAAATGAGGATTTTTTTTAACCTCTTTTGTGTTTTGAGCAAAAACTAAAGAAGATAGAGAGAAACTAAACAGACAAAACGATCAGCAATACAAGATTTACAAAAAAGAGATTTTTGTCATGAATTCTATTCTCGTCTACAATGTTGAAGAGTGTCCTCAGTTGAATATGCACATAGACCTAGGAAAGCGACATAGGCTCTTTAGAGCCTCTAGTTATGTTTTAGGCTAGTATCTTGAAAAATATAAAAGTTAAAGAGAAATCTGATTAACTAGTAAGTGACAGATGGAGTTTTACGTTATATCTTATTCATACTTTCACCTAGGGTGACTTACTAAAGTCGAAAGCATTTATATTATATCTCATTCCTACTTTGAACTAGGGTGACATCATTATATTACAGTCAAACCTGTATTAACCAGGCACTCTTGGGAAGTATCAAAAGTGACTGCTGAAGAGAGGTGACCTGTAAAACGAGGTTCCAAAAAAGTCAAATTCCGACATCGCCCTTAACCGGGATCGGGGGAAATTGTTTTAGTATTTCCAATTGTCAGAGTTATCGTCCTTGCGAGCAGTGAAATAAAAAATATTAGTTGAGAAATAAGTCGGGGATACTGTTTTCAATAGAAACTGAAAGGTTGGAACACGGGGAGTTGACGAATCCACCTTCTATTACGTGACATTGGTTGCAAACGTATTTCGATTTTAATTGTAACTTCGACATTGACATAAAAAATCTTTGTTTTGAAGATTTTTTGCAGTTTAAAACATTATAATGACCATTGTTAAAAGTTGAAATTACGATGTCTTTCGAAAATTAGATGACTGCTGAAACGAGTTAAATTATATAGAAAAAACGTTTGGGAGGGTCTAAAAGTGATCATTAGAGGCAGTCGACCGCTGAAACGAGGTAACCGTTAAGGCAGTTTTGACTGGATATCTCATTCCAACTTTCACCTAGAGTGAAAGCATTTACAATATATCTCATTGTTACTTTGATCTCGAGTGACAGCATTTACAATATATCTCATTCCTACTTTCACTTAGGGTAACAGCATTTACAATATATCTCATTCCTACTTTCACTTAGGGTGACAGCATTTACAATATATCTCATTCTTACTTTCACCTAGGGTGACATCATTTACAATATATCTCATTCCTACTTTCCCCTAGGGTGACATCATTTACAATATATCTCATTCGTACTTTCACTTAGGGTGACATCATTTACAATATATCTCATTCTTACTTTCCCCTAGGGTGACATTTACAATATATCTCATTCTTACTTTTGCCGAGGGTGACATCATTTACAATATATCTCATTGCTACGTTCACCTAGGGTGACATCATTTACAATATATCTCATTCCTACTTTTATCTAAGGTGACATCATTTACAGTTTATATCATTCTTACTATCAACTTAGGTGGCAGCCTTTTCAGTATATCTCATTCTTACTTTTACCAAGGTTAACAATGCTTTAGCATTGTCAGTCAGTCATGGTAAAAAATCCTTATTGCAGATGACTTGGTTTTCATTCTCCAGTTGACAATTTCTCACTTTTCAGGAAGCCTAAACTCATTTTCTTCTAAATATTGCAGTGGACAAGATTTTTTTTTTGTTCAAATATTATCATAACGGTCTAAATATGATACCTCAAACTCCTTAAATATATATAAATAAAAGTGCTATCAAAGGTCTGCTTGGATAAGTGGTAATGGTTCATTTGATATAATTGAATTTATTTTTAGGCAAAAGAAATAGAAGAGGCATATAACAATTGGTTAAAGACAAAATCACGACAAGTAAGAGAAGAAAAATTGCTTAAAAGACGTCAAGAGAAAGAACAGACTGATGGATTTATTATCAGGAGTAGAACAGATTGTGACCAAGCTTTCAGAGGGTATGTGTATACACGGTGGGCAAGTGGGAAAAGCAAAATCCATGTGGTCTGTTGTGTACCTTTATCTTGATTTATTTACTTTTTTGTCCATCTAAAATTACTGTTTCTTCTACCATTTGTTTGTTTGTCCTTTCTTACTTCTGTTGATTTATTATTATTCATGAGGTAATAATTTTCATGGATACAGGTGAACAATAAATTTCAGGTTAAAAAAAATACAAATATCTTAAAGGCTTAAAGGTAGAAATATTACTGTATCTATTAAAATACAATTTTGCCCCAATACTTGAAAAAGGGATCCACATTTATTTTTGCGACTTCTGCTGAATAAGAGATGATTTCTGTGACCCTTTCAGAAAGTCCTTCTCCTAATGGTTTTCTACAAATCTTTTATTATTTTTTGAAAGATTAGTAGTGTATCTGGTAGCAAATCCATACCTTTACTGGACTACAAATCGAGTTTCAGTTTAGTTCTGGTTGAGAGTTGTCATCCTTGGACTTATAAAATTGATTAAAAATATAAGTTTTTAGATAAATAAAATCCTTATATGCTTCAGGTGTTAGGCTGTAGTTGTTAACAATACCAGTATAATTAATAAATATTGTGACCCATTTTATAATAAGATGGAAATTTCCTCACTACATCAGTCACAAACAATGCTTCTCCCATAAGGTTTAAGTGGTTATGGTAGCATTTTCTTAAATTCCTCTGCTTATAAACACTTGGATATCTATGGTGGCTTGTTTCAAAGCTGAGACATTTTCACATTTTAGAGGTCTGAAGTGTGATTAATTTTTCTGTAATTTGGATACCCCTAAAAGCCCTTTGTAATGATGTTTCTTGAGGCAAAAAATCCCTATTTTCACACAAAAATTTGTTCTGATAATTCCATGATTTGCAAACGTCTAATAGCTACATAGTTTTTACACCTTTATTCTATAATCCTCTGCTCTTCAAAACATTACAAATGGTTTTGCTTAGTCATTTGTTAAAAATAACAACATGTCCAATATCACTTTACAGAGACTTTTTGTTCACAATTTGAGGTGCATTAGGGATATTGATCCATATAAGTGTAAACACATCCAATGTAAAAGTTACAGCTAGTAGGGGATATTGTATTGCCTTTGCAATAGCCTCAGAATGCTTGTACCTTTGATTGATTTATTTTGGTGGATACTAATTTTCATGAATTGAGGAAAACTTATATATTTGTGGATATATTTGTTTTTGTGGTTTTGCCAAATTCTGCATACAAATCTATAGAAAAAAACATTTCAATTCATGGTTAACCTATAGCCACAAAATCTACGACAATTAGCAATAAAATAATAATAAATCCACAGTAGATTAATAAAAGGAGATGTAAGGTACACATCAGTGAGACAGCTACCCAAAGTGAAAAATAGTTTATGTGATTTTCATTGTGAAAAAATGCCAAGAATCACCATAAAAAAAAATATTAACAGAAATACCAGGCTTATTATTTTGTACGCCAGACACAGGTTTTGTTTTCATGAGACTCATCAGTGATGTTCTTTGGAAAATAAGAAAATTGCATTTCATCCAATGAAAAATTTTATTAATATAATCTTTTCCTTTTTAGATGGTTGAAGAGAAAGAATTTAGAAGCAAAAAGACACAGACAGGAAGAGAAACAGCTAGCAAGAATGCATCGCCTTGCAGCACGGAAATCAAGGAAATCTCTTGCTCTCGCCAAAGCCATAAAACAATCAAATGCATTTAAATATGTTGACTATTATGGCTACAGATTTTAATCATTGCTATGGAAACTAGCGTGAAATATGCAAGGGCTTATGGGATGTCTGACTGACAAGGAAGAGAGTAGATCTGAGAATTGCTATGGTTACCTCATTATATCTATTACTGCCAGTTTCAATGGCAACTATGATGTTTCCATGGCAAGGTACAAAGTTTCTGTGATATTTGATTAAATTTATCTCTTTAGGAATGGTGTAGAATGTTGATTGTAATTTGTTACTATATTTTTATCAGGAAAATCATGTTCACGATTGATGAATGTGTGTGTAAGTATGCCATATTCTGTATTCATGGAAAACTTTGAATGATGCCTTCTTGGGGCAGGAGATGGAGAGCAAAAGATATGTATAGAAAATCGAGGCATCTTTCAAAAGACGAAAAATTCAGAAGAAAATAGAAACATTTTGAAGAAATTGAATGTTTTTATATTTTTTGGTAAAAAGCTGAACAGAGCTTTAAACTATGCTGAATTCAAGTTAAGTTTTCTATGTTTATGTATGTGTATAAGAATCCATGTTTTTCTCCCCTTTCCTGCTGAATACAGAGTATAGATTAGAGTATAAATGCTTAATTAGCCATTAGTATGTATATTTTTTTGTCAACTGGCCACATTTTTTACTGTTTAGGAAATAGAAATTTAGGAAAAAACATTCCATGTTCTATAGATTTCATAATTCTGGTCCTTTAAATCATTATTTTTTTTTATAAAGTTTTGTCAAAGAAGAAAAAAATTTTGCTGTAGTGCGATTTTTTCTGTAACTTTTTCCTGTTATTAATTTTATGTTGCTTTAATGTATAATGTCATCGTCAATATAATCTACAGAACAAGTGTTTAGCCATGTCTCGTAGAAATAGTTAGTATGTCATTTTCATTATATGTTTTTTTTTTTCCAAAGTGATAAAAAGTAAAGTTTCGTAGAAAACAGTTGTAAAATAAAGTTATTGACGATATGAATCAAAATTGCAGTATTTGAATGGGTAATTTCATTTCTATTTTATGTACCCTGACCTCATTGTTTTGGAAATATTTGAAATAAATACAAAACTAGATTTATTTATTGGTTTAATTCAGTTGATTTATATATTTGATTTGCTGATGATTTTATTTTTGTTTTAAAAAAAAAAAGGAAATGTCAAAATAGTAAAATAAACATCAGAGAAATCTTCTAATGGATCAGGATTTGATATAACAAAATTGACAAGAAAAGAATTCAGAACAAAATTCTTAAATATTGTTTTTTAAAGAAATAAAGAGTTGGAGAATTATGCAGACCAAATATTTTCACTCATAAAACTGGGAATGGAAATAGGGAATGTGTCAAAGAGACAACAACCCGACCAAAGAGTAGAAAACAGCCCAAGGCCACCAATGGGTCTTCAACACAGCGAGAAAATCCTGCACCCAGATGCGGTCTTCAGCGGGCTCATAACTTTATATATTATGGCTTTAAATTTTTTTCAGCAATTTAGCAATATCTGTATTCATTTGATAAATTCATGAATTATTTTTTAATGTTTACTCTTATAATTGTGCTAGATTGTCCTGAATGTCCATGAAATACTTGCTACTAGACAATAAGCAAGCAGCAAGCAATCATTCTTATGCTAGAGAATAATTCTTTTATTACTAAAAACAATTTCATGGTTTTAATTTGAGGCTTTCTGATTATAAACAGTTAGATTAGAATTCTGATACATTTATTTTCACATACTTTAAGCATAAATGTTAACACCTATGACCACCATACATTATTTCTAAAAAATAGTAGAGTTTCAACTTCAAAGTAATGTGTTAGATGAAAAAAAATTATTGGGGTTACTAGGAAAATATTGTTCTATTGAATAAAAAAAAACTAGAGTAGTAACACAACACAAATGCCAACAGCCTTCACACAAATTTGCACAGGATCAAAACATACTCAAATCAAGTCTGTTAATTTATTTAAATACTTGTCCAGAATGGGCGATATTTACCTGAGTTATCTCCCCTAACTTGTTGTTGTACAATTCATGTTATGCAAACGATATCTCCAGTTGGCAGATTTATGTTACTGCAAATTCTAAATGAAATCCAGTGTACATTGTGATAGATTGATTTGCTGCTTTCCTGGTGCCAATTTTAAATGACAGATCAGCACTAAATTTTACCTCAAGAGATAATTTAAGGCTAATTAAAAAAATTCATTTATCTCCTTGATATTTGATTTGTGAATTTTCTGTTTAAAAAAAAAAATTATTGCATGGTTCTTTTCGGTAAAAATAGTGCTCCCTTCCTCCATTGAATATTTATTGTTGTTGAAAAATGTAAAGATTTATAGTGTATGGCCTTATATAAATGTTACTTCTACGCATTATGGCCTATTTTGAAAATTTAACCTTTTTCTTGGGTATGGTTCCTTGAATAATTAAGAACAGATGACATTTTGTTTTAATGATATTTAATCATGTTTTAATATGTACAATTCACACAAGGTTATTCTAATAAAAATAACTATTGTTGGTAAATATTCACAGTGAATGGTGAGATTCTGCCCAATTCACTGAAATATCAGTTTATCTTTACCTTGTGGATTGTAATACATAGATAGAAAAAAAATAAAGAAATTGTAGAAAAGGGACTAGCATAAATATTTCTTTATAAAGTAAATCTGAAAAATTATTTGTTGTATTCCATGGACATAAACATGAATTTTGGAATAAAATTCTATATGACCCCTGTATGAATGGGTTTGACTTTACAAGGTGTTTGTTTAAATTACTTCTTAATTTGCTTTTTTAACATGTTTCATAGGTAATCTGTATTAGTGTGATCATGAGCATCAAGAGGAAAAATTACATTAAGAAAAAATGGTTTCTTAAATTTGTTGATCAACTTGCAGAATTTATTGCAGTATGTACAAGTGACTTACCACATGTTGAGTTACCATCTCAAAATTAAACAATTTATTTCCAACTTTTGAGAAACACTCATAAGTAGGCAAAGCAGACATTAATAAAAGGAGATATATGAGGGAACTGAAAGGATATGCAAACGATTACTAGTTTTCAGTTGTAATTGTCATACAATGCAGTATTGGTTTTGCTCATTGTTTATTTCAGTACTGTGACCTATAGTTGCTAACTTCTACATCATTTGGTCTCTTGTGGAGAGTTGTCTCATTGGCAAGCATACTACATCTTCTTTTATTTTGATATAGTACTAAAATTCAGTCATCAATGTTGTGCTTTTTTTTTTCTCTCACTTTTATTCAAGAGAAGTAGATAGACAATTGGAGTCAACTAAAGTTACATTCCTTTAAAGTAATAACATTTTAAGATGGACCCTCTTAATAATTAACTCATGTATCTGAATTAATGGATTTTACTGTAGTTTAATGAATTATTTATACTTATTATGCATACAATTGTTTTTATATGTTTATTGTAACAGAATGTGTTTGGAAGTGAGTGCTGTCATCATACTGTGTCATTTTATCTGGTAGAACATTTTACAAATAAATAAATATTTTATAATTATGTCTGTGTTCAAAATGTGTGTGGAAATAAGTGGTAGGTTTTGAATCATCCTTCCATAATACTGAAACTGAAAAGGCCATATAATATGATAAAAAGATATTTTGAAAATGTCAGAGACAGTAACCAAAAAACATACAGTCAACGTTAAATAACACTTGACAGAAAAATCAAAATTTAAATCTAAATGTGGTTTCTGTTTTATATAGGTTATGCATGTATATCAGGAGACGCTTACTTTGTTGAAAAACCTGAACTCACTGTAATTAGAGTTTTTGATTTATTCCTTCATGATATCTTGTAATCTTGATTTCATGAGCTTTAATGAATTGATGACATTTGAGTATCAACAGTCTTCAGTGTTTTAGTATATTGTTTTTGTTTTGTGTATTGATATGATGAGTTGAGACCTTTTCAGTATATACTTTCATAGTTTGTTCTTATAGAGTGCTGTTACACCACCGTTCTTCCAGGTCAAGGGGATTGTTGGGTGTCCACAAGCTTGTTTAACCGCACCCTGTCTGTATGTGCCTGTCCCAAGTCAGGAGCCTGAAATTTAGTAGTTGCTGATTGTTGCTGAATACCATATTTGTTTTTATGCCCTGCCATAGCGGAGGGGGCATTAAGTTTTACCCTTGTCCGTCTGTAAGTACGTACGTATGTACTTCCGTACATCCCAAAATTGGTTTCCGTTCTCTAACTTGAGTTTGCCTCTACCGAATGTTATGAAACTTATACACAATGCTAATTACCACAAAAAACAGATCAAGTTTGAGTTTTGGTGGCATCACTTTAACTGTTCTAGAGTTATGCCCCTTTATAAATGGAATAATTGCAAAATTTTCAGTTTCCGTTCTCTAACTTAAGTTTGCCTCAACTAAATGTTATCAAACTTATACACAATGCTAATTACCACAAAACACAGATCAAGATGGAATTTTGGTAGCGTCACTCTAACTGTTCTAGAGTTATGCCCTTTCATAAATGGAAAAATTGCAAATTTTTAGTTTCCGTTCTCTTAAGTTTGCCTCAACCAAATTTTATGAAACATATACACAATGCTTATTACCACAAAATAAAGATCAAGTTTGAATTTTGGTGGGGTCACTTTAACCATTCTCGAGTTATGCCCCTTTATAAATGGAAAAAAATGCTAAATTTTTAGTTTCCTCTCTCTAAATTTAGTTGCCTCAACCAAATGTTATGAAACTTATACACAATTCTTTTTACCACAAAACAAAGATCAAGTTAAATTTTATATTTGAACCTATTATATTTCTCTCATTAGTTGGTACAGGTATTTCAAACTGGACAGTGGTCACTTTCATTGGAAGTTTCACTGTTTTACGTGAAATTAATGCACATATCTTGGTGACAGAAGTTGTTTGTTTTCGTTCAGTGGCAAATGTTTTATACATTTTTAGGACGTGAACAAATTGATTATAAATCAAATAGGTAAGTTCTGCAATGGATTGATCGGATAAAGGACAAGGAAAAAGTTAAATCCCAAAAATACTGAACTCCTAGGAAAATCCAAAATGGAAAGTCCCTAATCAAATGGCAAAATCAACAGCACAAACACATCAAACGAATGGACAACAACTGTCATATTCCTGACTTGGTACAGACATTTTTCATGTAAAAAATGGTGGATTGAACCTGGCTCATATGACAGTCGCATCAAATTGCATTATATTGACAATGATACGTAAATAAAACAAACAGACATAATAGGTAAAAATGTAAAATAGGGGTACAGCAGTCAACATCGTGTCACAATCTTAATCACAACAAAAATGAATAAATATTTAACAAAGAAGTACAAAAAAGCATATATTACATTTAACCACCTCGTTCATTGCTTACTTATTTTTGTATTTTATTTATGTATGCCAAATCAACCTATAAATGATTGAGGGATTTAATGCTATGGGACCAAATCGTAAATTTAACATTAACTCTGACGTAGAATAGCGTGTTTGACGTCAGAATGTAAACGTCACACAGGTAGAGATATAAAATAATTTTGTCGTTCAAAGTATGCAAAAATTCTAATAGAACAATAACACAATGGCGGGATGTTTAAAGTACAGAGACACGTAATATGTATCAAAGAAACATAAAAAGTCCCACGGACAAAGCACACAAGTAAAAATGAAAAATAATGCAAAGAACACAATGGCAGACATGGGGTAATTGAAATATGTAATTGTAATTGGCTGTAATTAATTATAATTTTTCAAGTAATTGAATGTAATGTGTAATTGAGCATTTTTTAAATTACAAGTAATTGAAAGTAATGAATTACAAAGCCAAAATTGTCTGTAATTGACAATTACTTTTCAATTACAACTCAATTACATTTGAAATTTGGGATCAGAAAGATTGAATCTTGTGTTTTCTCAAAAAATTATGAAAAGCCATGACCTTAGCAAATGTAGTTAGCTGACAAATCAAAGCCTACACAGTATACCTTCTGTAATTACACAACCATGGAAGATTCTTTATTTTGTAATGAATGAAAAAAAATTAAAAAGAAAAAAAAAATATTGTAGAAACATGCCATAATTTGTGTTTAAAAGAAACCATTAGTAAGTCACTGTCTTATACCTTAATAAGCTTGTTACCTACATGTATATTCAGATGGATATTGTTAGACATTGATTTAACATAATAAATATAACCTCTGGCTATTTGTTATATCATAAACTATATAATGACTGTTTTTACAACAGTTATGTCAAGGTTAGCACATACTTACAACTTCTCGTCCAATCAAATTGCTTGAATTTGCCTTCTAATTTTCATAGTGCATACTTTTTCCGTGTACTAAGTAACTACGCATGAATGACCACAAGTGTAAGATTTCATTGTATCATAAACAAGATATTAAACAAAAGTTGCTACTGGCTATTTTGAAATAAATTCCGTGTTCTAAATCAAACTAAATAGTTTGTAATTAGTTTTCAAATTGATTTTTAAACATCCTACTTATTAATTTTTGAATCTTAAAATGTTTTTGACGATTAAAAGTTTCTTTCATTTAAATAAAAAGTAACAAATATGGTTCTTTATACCTTGATTAGAGGACAACACCATCTTAAAATTGTAATCATTTATTTTCCACGCTATTACTTTGTACACAAAAAAGAGTGAACCATGAAACCTTGTGAAGGGAAATTAAAGCAATTTGATCTATTTTGTCATGAATTTATTGATTATTGGTTGCTTAATGTCCAGTGACAAATATTTCATGCATGTAAACTACCCACTAGACTACCTATGGGGCAGATCCAGCTATTTTCAAAAGGGGTTCTAACCCATTGATCATCACGAAAAAGGCGTTTTCCACCACCACCACCTCCCCCCTTTTTGGATCCGCCACCGAAAACTATCTATATGTGTAAAATTTATAGTTTTAGTTTTTATGTGAAATAGAAAAATGTTTTTAAGAATGTGAAGCTTCCACTGCAATTTAATTACTGCCTGCTTTTGGTCAATTTATTTTGTCATCTTACCATGTAAAGAAGTACATGTGTCGTAAAACACCGCTTTATATCAATAAACATACTTACACCAGCAGCTACCAACTTTTCATTCTGGAGTCAAAGGCTTTTTGAAATCACATATTTTACAATGATACTAGTGAGTAGATTTACAAAACTACGTAAATGAGCTACACCTAGTCAGCCAAAACATATCAAAAGACTAATAACAGGATTACTCAAAACTACATTACATTTTTATACGACCGCAAAAAAATTTTTGTGGTCGTATATTGGTATGACGTTGGCGTCGTCGTCGTCCGAAGACACATTAGTTTTCGCACTCTAACTTTAGTTTAAGTGAATGGATCTCAATGAAATTTTACCATAAGGTTCAATACCACAAAAGGAAGGTGGGGATTGATTTTGGGGGTTATGGTACCCACAGTTAAGGAATTAGGGGCCAAAAATAAGCCAAAAATAAGCATTTTTGTAACTTCCAGACATAACTTGTGTGTAAGTGTATGGATCTCTCTGACATTGTATCACAAGGTTCCATATCACAAAGGGAATGCTGGGATTGACTTTGGGGGTGATTGCCTTCAAATTTTAGGAATTAGGGGCCAAAAAGGGGCAAAAAACAAGCATTTTTCTAGTTTCAGGACAATAACTTGTGTGTAAGTGTATGGATCTCTCTGACATTGTATCACAAAGGGAATGCTGGGATTGATTTTGGGGGTAATTGCCTCCAAATTTTAGGAATTAGGGGCCAAAAAGGGGCAAAAAACAAGCATTTTTCTAGTTTCATGACAATAACTTGTGTGTAAGTGTAAGGATCTTTATGAAATTGTACTACAAGGTTCCATATCACAAAGGGAAAGCTGAAATTGAGTTTGGGGGTAATTGCCCAAAAAGTTTAGGAATAAGGGGCCAAAAAGGGGCCAAAAATAAGCATTTTTCTAGTTTCCAGACAATAACTTGTGTTCAAATGTATGGATCTCTCTGAAATTGTACTGCAAGGTACCATACCACAAAGGGAAGGCTGGGATTGATTTTGGAGGTAATTCCCTCAAAATTTGAGTAATTAGGGGCCATAAAAGGGCAAAAAAACAAGCATTTTTCTAGTTTCAGGACAATAACTTGTGTGTTAGTGTATGGATCTTTATGAAATTGTACTGCAAGGTTCCATATCACAAAGGGAAAGCTGGGTTTGAGTTTGGGGGTAATTGCCCTAAATGATTAGGAATTTGGGGCCAAAAAGGGGCCTAAAAACAAGCATTTTTCTAGTTTCCAGACAATAACTTGTGTTCAAGTGTATGGATCTCTCTGAAATTATACTGCAAGGTACCATACCACAAAGGGAAAGCTGGGATTGAGTTTGACGGTGATGAATCATAAGGGGGTTCAAAAAATTGGGGGGGATTTTTTTTTCATTTTTTTTCTTTAAAATTTTCCATTTTAAATTGGTTATTTCTGATTTATATATAAAAGCAAATAATAATTATATGGTTTGAATAGGTAAATTAAAAATTCTTAGACCACTTTCATTCTGTGTGAGAAACCTATGCTGTGTCAAATATTTAATTACAATCCAAATTCAGTGCTGTATCAAGCTTGAATGTTGTGTCCATACTTGCCCCAACTGTTCAGGGTTCGACCTCTGCGGTCGTATCAAGCTGCGCCCCAGCGGAGCATTTTATTTAAAAAATCAGATTTTCTAAGTCATTTCTTTAGGAAAAATAGTTTTAATAAGTTGTGATTTAAATAAAAAAAAAAAAAAATTTTATCTATAGGGCTCTCTTCTTGTATCATTTTCAATGAAATACATTAAAACATAAAATTTCAATAGGTAAATTAAACAAAATTTGATATTTTTCAAATATTGAATAAGGCTTTTCATTATTATGCGTATTAAATTAAACCAGACATCTAGTCCTAATGATTCCTGATAGACAAAGTATTATGTGCACTTCAGATTTATGTTTGTTTTTTCTTTATTCCCGTAACACACCAGATATCTAACTTTTACTCTTCTTTGATACTGGCTGAATTTGAAAATAGTCACTGTAGATCTCATTTGTTATTACTATAAAGCAATGTATGATAATTATGTACATATGATAGAATAAATGCATGTTTTAAATTTTCCTTTCAAAAGTAATTGAAGTAATTAATTACATTTGCCAAGTAATTGGAAAGTAATTAATTACATTGTCAAAAAAAGTCAAATGTAATGTGTATTTTAATTGAAGATTTTGTAATTGTAATTGAATGTAATTAATTACTTTCAAAGTAATTGACCCCATGTCTGGACGGGAAGCATAAGTACAGAGCCACATCAAATGTATATCACCAAATTTTAAGGACCGAACGTGACCTATTCCCGAATATGACTGTTTTGCTGAGTCTGAATTCGCATTGCTATTAGACGTGTTTCGGTATTTGTACATCCAACATTCATGTATTTAGTTATGATGTTTTATTTGTAATTCTGATTGGATATTGTTTTATGTCTTATCGTTTGTGGTTTTAATTCTATTTTTATTTTCTATTTGTAAAAGTAAAGATAATTAATCAACTAGTTCATTTGTATGATCTTTGGTTTAAAGCAACTTTATGCACAGGATTTATTTGTTTTTTACATAGTTTGATTTAGAAGAAAAACCTATTTGGTTAGAAAATACAATTCATTACACCATTACTAACACAATTCTATATTAATATTCTTGTAATTGTTAGAAAATACATCAAATAACACCATTACAAACTTTATTCCGATTTTATATCCATTTTTTAAAAATTTACCTGTGACGTCACTTTTTGTGGCGTTGATACATTCGTGTGACGCTCAGTTCATAATTCTATTATGCTGTATTTGTGTATTGTCTTAAATTAATTTTAGGTGTTCGTTGTTATTTTGTTGTTTACATGTCGAAATGTACTTTTATATTATTTATTTGTACTGTATTCCTGTCACGTAATGTTGTCATTTTAACGGTATTTTTAACATTGCCATATAAGCGGGAGGTTTGGCTAGGCATAAAACCAGGTCCAACCCACCATTTTTTCTTAAAATGTCCTGTACCATGTCAGGAATATGGCAGTTATTATCAAATAGTTCGTTTCTATGTATGTTGCATTGGAGTTTGTTTTTGTTGCACTTCAGTGTTTCTGTTGTTCCGTTGTTTTCTTCTTATAATTGATGTGTTTCCCTCGGTTTTACTTTGTAATCCGGATTTACTTTCTCTCAATCTATTTATGACTTTTGAACAGCGGTATACTACTGTTGCCTTTATTTATCTACAGGTTAATTTTCGTTGTCAAGTCCGTATCTCAGATACTGTAAGCAATATATCAACTATATAGTGGGTGTATGTAATGATTGCAAGTTTAACATGCTCACGACTGTCTGGTTTCATATGACCTTGACCTCATTATTATGATCTTATTTTTGTGGTTTGTCTATTTCGCAGATACTACTAGTTCAACATTTATAAGGAATAAAACCTTCATATTACAGACTTTCAACACAAATGTAATCATGATAAGTAAAGAAGGCGAGACATTTCAGCTTGTAAACTCTTGTTTTCTTTATCGTTAGAAAAAAGTGGATCTTAAACGAGGAGATATACAATTGTGTTATTCAAGGTATTTTATATTGTCCTATACATCTTTATTTTAAATTGTAAGTTTGGTGCTTATTTTTTTAATAATTATTATAGAAAAGAAAGGATATAGGGTGTCCACCCATGACACAAAATCCGTTTATTTACAGCATATTTATCTTTTTATCCTATCTTGATCTTTTTATGGCATTTTGCTTTTCAAACACATTTATAAAAGGTACCATTTTGTTAACCTTTGTACTTAAAATATCAAATATCACAGCGAATCACTTAACTTCATACAAAAATGTAGTATGGTCGCGATTTGCAACTAACAATTTGTTTGCAGATCGGTCATAGTGCAGAACTTGCGGTAAGTGGAGTCCATCTTCACTTGATAAAAGTTGTCTGTAGCGTTGTCCATCAGGAGAGATGACAACCACATTGCTAGAACTGCATCCCACTACAAACACGTTACCATCATTGTCTACAGAGATACCGAGTGGATACTCCAGAACACTGGTATCACAGAACGTCCACATAATGCTACCATGGGAATCACAACAGGTTACACTGTCATATTTAGGGTTCGTGTGGAACAGTTTGTCACCGAATGTTGTAACGTACGCAAAGTTTGAGAGTTTGGTATTGGTAACATTGGTAATGGATTCATCGCTAAGACTAATCATCTGTAGTCCTTTCTGCCTAGCACAATAAATCAAATGCCCATCTTTGTATGCTGCACCATCAATGTCTGAATGAACTTCCATTGATTTTATCAGCTTTTTGTTCTTTGCGTCGATTATGTTTATTGAATTTGAAACTCTATTCGTAACAGCAATACAATCATCCCCAACAAATACCACATCAAACGCAGAAACGATATTATTCATTTTAAAATCAATCGATCCGTCAGTTTTTAATACTCGTATTTCACCTTTTGGCACTGATAATACAATTCTACCACCAGGGAGCAAAGAACAACCTCGGATATCTGACATCTCTGTGTTCATACGTTTATGTAACGTCAGAGTCAGGTTATTAATATTTTGAATCGGAAGAGTTACCGTAATCTGGGCTTGTTTTTGTTTCCGGTTCTGAAGGGACAAACTGCATGGATTAGAACTGACATTAATTTTTCCAAACTTTTGTAAGCTGGCTGTGATTTGTTGTAAAGACTTGTTAAATTGGCATGAAATATTGGCTTGGTTTGTGGCGTCACTTTCATTAATGGATTGAATAAAATTTTCGTTGCCGGCAACATCTTTTTCGAAGTGTTTTATGGCCAAAAAGGTTTGCAGTTCGGATGCATGCTGTTTAATATTAGTAATGTTTTCTTTGAATTCTGTAATCTCTATGTCCTTAGTTTTTAGAACAGTCAATACTTCCTGTATTTTGCCATTCTCTTTTTGTTCAATTGCCTTTAATTCTTTTATCAAATCATCTTGCAATCCATCAAGATGACGATTTATCTTTGTCCTTGTTTGTTTTATTTCTTCTTCAATTTCTCTTTTCTGTTTTTCTAACGATGTTAAATTATCTTTTCGATTAGTTTTTATTCGTTTAATATTCTCAGCGACTTCCAAAAGGGCTTGTTCGATTTCATAAAAGGCGTTGGAAGTTTTGACGTTCTTTATGAGTTCATTAATGTCGGTTAAACCTTTACAATCTGTATGAGATTTCACACATTTCATACAACATGGACAATCGTGATTTCTACAGAAAAGCTCGTATTTCTCATTATGTATTTTGCAGACCGTTGCGATTTCTATGACTTGGGTTGGTATCTTTTTGTATTCGGCGGTGGAAACAGTTTCGTGGTTTCTTGATGACTTGGAAATCCTATGATGTTCCTTACAATCTTCACATAGTCCTTCGTCACATTCGGAACACCAGACTACTGATGGCTTGGTAACCTGACGATAATCACAGACACCACAATTACCCCAATTGCTGGCCATGTTTCTGCAACATATATGCAACACATATTACAAGATCATGTATTTTTTTTTTTAATTTTGGATCATTTTTGTAGTTAAGTGTGCCGTCCATTATCGCAGAACTAGTATACATTATTGTTTAGGGGCCAGATAAGGCCCACCCGGATGCGTAATTTGCTCGCTGTATTGAAGACCCATTGGTGGCCTTGGTCTGTTTTCTGCTCTTTGGTCGGGTTGTTGTCTCTTTGACATATTCCTCGTTTCCATTCTCAATTTTGTCAATACATAAAATGTTATTTGAAAATCAATTTTAGTGAACATTCACCCATATTAGGACGATGTTAAAAGCATATTAAGTTAAACCTTAAATCTGAAAAATTAAACTGAATTCAAAAGAAATAAAAGTCATTTTGCTAAACGTTTTTCATACAAAATATTCTTCGTAATGCCACCAAAAATGAGCAAAACCTATTCTCTATAGTCAGCTATAAAAAGTTTTGATTGTAATTGGGAAAAGCACATACATCTAGGCGAGTTTAGATATATGTTCGTGAGCACTCAACCATCCCCCTTATCTGAGACAGTGGTGCAACTGCATATGCATTTAAAGAACAAATTGTAAGAATCAGATGGACAGTGCATGCACGACTCGTCAGCAACACGACGGGTGCCACATGTGGAGCAGGATCTGCTTATCATTCCGGAGCACCTGAGATCACCCCCAGTTTTTAATGGGGTTCGTGTTGCTTAGTCTTTAGTTTTCTATGTTGTGTCATCTGTACTATTATTTGTCTGTTTGTCTTTTTATTTTTGTCCATGGCGGTGTCAGTTTGTTTTCGATCTATGAGTTTGACTGTCCCTCTGGTATCTTTCGTCCCTCTTTTACAATCATTCTCATGAAATCTATAAACATAACATTACAATCATTATCCCGAAATCTATAGACATAACGAAGAAAGTTCGTCCTTAGGGACTAAATGTGTGACAATTTGTGAAATTAATTATCGCAGTTTGTGTTGGTCGTAATTACGGACCAAGTGAGTTATAAGAGTTCTCCCAATAATATGTTTTTAATTCGATATCAAAAATTTTCAAAATCGTTATCATGAATTGTGTTATACGGGATATATAAACTATAATTCGTTATCACGAATTAATAAGGAACATCGGGAATTATAAATCGATTAAATTCTTTATCACAATTTAGAGAACATCTGTGATATTAATTGATTCGACAATTA